AAGAGCTGCATCCTGTCTTGCGAGAGTTCAAAGACGTTATAGAGAGCAACACACGTATCTACATGCTGATCAACTCCATGTTTGAGGAAATACCTACGAAGAAACCGTATAAAAGCGACCCTGTGGGCCATAAGCAGGTTCGCGACTACCACCATATGCTGGAGCTGTTCAACCACATCCTCACAACGGCGCCTGAGTGGAGTGATCACGAGTACTCGGTTGGGATGGTAGGAACGCCATTCAATGCTATTCTTGACTGGCCGATGGTATGCATCTCCAACAGACACCGCACGCAGCATCTGCTGACTGTAGTACGTAGGGCACGCCATCTGGCTTTGCGTTCTTCCTAGATCCAGAAGTCAACAAGATGATCAAGAAGGTCCTCAACGCATGGGCAGAGTTCCTCGCCTCGCCATCGTCAGCATACGTGCTTAGTGACGACAAGATCGGCTGGCTCAGCGATCACGGCACTCACGATCTCGCGTTGACAGCCAACGTTGGCCAAACATCTTATGCTTTCGAAGAGTTCTTCTACTGCGATCCGTCTAAGAAGCACCATGGGTACAAGTCCTGGGATGACTTCTTCACGCGCCATTTCCACGAAGACAAGCGGCCCGTTGCCAGTCCTGACGACGATAGCGTCATCGCTAACGCCTGTGAATCGAAGCCTTATAAGATAGGCCGCAACATCTCCAAGCGCGACCGCTTTTGGATGAAGGGCCAACCCTATTCGCTCATGGACATGCTGGCCATGGACCCATTGCACGAGCAATTCATCGGTGGAACTATCTACCAAGCCTTCCTTTCTGCGCTGAGCTACCACCGCTGGCACGCGCCTGTCAGCGGTAAGGTCGTGAAGTCGTACATTGTTGAAGGCACTTACTTCTCCGAACCGCTCTTCGAGGGTCTTGGTGATCCCTCCGCTGGGAGCGATATCGACGAAAGCGGCGAGAAAACAGGCCAGGGTTACCTTACAGCAACAGCTACGCGCGCCGTCATCTTCTTTGAAGCTGATAACAAAGACCTGGGCCTGGTTTGCTTCATGGGAATTGGAATGACTGAAGTCTCGACGTGCGAGACCACTGTGAAGGAAGGCCAGCACGTCAAGAAGGGCGATGAGATTGGCATGTTCCATTACGGCGGAAGCACACACTGTGTGATCTTCCGGAAAGGTGTGGAGTTGGAAGGGTTTCCGGATACGCAGAACGCCGAGCATAACGTGCCTGTGAGAGCGAAGCTCGCGACTTTGAAGAAGACGACTTGAGAATACCTGGCAATTGCTACTCAGTCAAGCTAAGTTTACGATCTCAAAGAATGTAGAAATCTATTCGTAATATTGTGCACAACAAGAACCAAGTTACTCCGCACCTGTACCTGCATGTCGATTAGAGGTAATCATCTGCTCCGGCTGCTGGCATCTCTACGTAGTAGCCTCAAGCTCATATAAACTTGTCATACTTCGAATGCTCCTTTCACGTCCTCACTCCGATCTTCCCCAACCAATACATGACCTAATATCTGCCCCTACTTGTCGCAACAAGACTTGATTTGAGATTGAGTGACGACATCTCAGTGACTCCGCTCGGTCTGAAACAAAGAGCAGGTAGCCAACCCTGTACCGTGTGTTATGTAAGTTGCTTGAAATATCTTTGGAAGTATGCATCCGCATCTCCAGGGAACATGACTTCGTCGTTCACAGGTGCATAAGCTGAATACCAATCCCCAAATGACCATGTCGCATATGATTTGACTGGCTCTCTTTGCTGCAAAGGCTCGCTAGCGGGAGTCTCCAGTCGAATTATAGACACATCGTTAACGATGTCTTCGACCACACATGAGAGACCTGCGGGCAGACGCCACAACGTTGCGTACATGGCGGGCAATATCAACTCCTCGGTACCATCGTAGGTCAACATCTTTTCTGAAAGGTGAACTCTTACAGATGCAGCTTTAGAAATGTATTGCCAAAGATAAGCACCCTCTTGTGATTGAGCGTCAAGAACAACATTGAAAGATCTTTTTGGCATCCCGAGCTTGGTCAATGCAGCCGTGCGCATCAGCCAATCGACTAGAATGCGCATATAGTCGTGCACTTGAGCCATGGTGCCGGTAGCCGGATGTTTCAGCAGTTGAGCGGGCTTCGTCCAAAAAGACGGAGCAAGAATTGTAGCAAAGCTTGCTTGCATGCGAAATTGCAGCTGACGATTTTCCGTACAGTATCCGATGAGGCCTTCGACGTGGACTTCGGGGTTTGCGACGCCTCTGCAATCTTCTTGGAGATTTATCACGCGCAGCTGTTTGCGCGCGCTAGGTGCGAGCCTGCCAAGTGTGGCAATACATATCGCGGTTGCTGAGAAATAGACGTTCGTTTCTTGATGGTTTTTGGCGCGTTCTTTGGTCGGACCTTCGAATGTAGTTAACAAGTTTTCCATACGACAAAGTTCGTCATGAGTGGGTATTAGCCATGGGTTTGGTCGCCACTCGAGGACCTGTCGATGCGTTCCTTGTTTAAAGGGTGTTTGAGACCAGGGATAGTACTCCGACAATTCGCACGCTTTGGAGACGAGTTCTTCGAATTCACGATGGCCCGAAGTCAGATCCAGAGTGTACTGCACTGCATCGCAGAGGGATGCTGAGAAGACATCTCGTGGCATGTGTGAGTGCCATGACATCAGGCGCAAATCGAAGCCACATCGAATGGCGCGGAGGATTGAACGGAAAATGTTGCTGAGGGCCGGATATCTCTTTGTGACTTCTGTGATATTGTCCTCAGTGACGCATTCAGCAACATAATGGAGCATGAGTATCTTCGTCCAGCGGGTAACGTAGAGCAGATGCTCGAACCGAGACGCTATTGATCGACAGCTGTTGGACGTTACATCATCTGGGCCACTGGATGGTTTGAAATTGATGGTGTTAACTCGATGCGAAAGACCTTTCATTTCCAGGGCAATTGCTTTGCATGTGTAGAGCAACCCAAGCTTTTCGTTGACCTTGGAGCGTAGTCTTCGAGATGGATAGTCGTAGAATAGGCCGTCTTCATCGTAAGCGCAATATGAGTAGATATCGTCGCGGAGTTCCCTTGGCAGTCGAAACAGTGGCGACATGTGTTGATTGATCATGTTGATGAGGATAACTAGCGTCGGTACTATAGTTGTTTCGTAGATTTGGGTGAAGCGACTCTAGGTGCTGGGGGATGCGGCGCTTTAAATAGAGCTCGCGCTCAGACGCTACAGCAGGCAGCCCTCGTCACGTGACCTCCCGCCGATACTTTGGGATTACCTTCCAGAGATGCTACAGGTGTGGAGCCCTTACTATCAGCGATGTACCATGGTACTGCAGATACGCGAAATTTCGGGGAAAAGCTGTTGCCCGACAATGTCAGCGTTGAGATGACGTAGCCCACCTATATGAACACATTTGGAAGATTTGGAGGCCTGAGGTACTATCGCAATTCTTACAGAATACTTGGTTTCAGCATATACCTCCTTTTTAGCTAACTTGCCTGCAAGCCTACCGCGAAGACGCACAAATGTACATTCATAACTTGTACACGCCATGTTCTATTTGGTACGTCAACTGGAAGCAGATCAATTTCTCGAAGGTTCGCTTTCTGTTGATTGACAATTGACCCAATATCATGCTGATGATGACCAAACCATGGCAGCGGATACTAGGAGAACGTGAAACCGTTGCATAGCAAGCAATCTACTCGACGAGGAGTACGCATTCCAAAACTGTACGTCGAAAGCAACACACATCATGATATGAGATCGCTGGAATCCCCCAAGAAGGTCCTTAAATATAGTTCCTCGTCGCCGGGAAAGTTTTGGTTCTCGTAAACATAATAGCATGACACAAAGTCGTCGCTGGTCCACTGGGAGAACGGTTCGGTTGGCGTGAATGGTTTCAAGAGCTCGTCAGTTGGTAGATCGAGTCGAATCATGGACCGCCCATTCATGACGTCGTTAAACACGGTTGATAAGTGGAGAGGTAGGCGCCAGGTCTTAGCAAATTTTTGCATCAGGACGTAGGATCGTTTGCCGTGGCTGTCGATGAACTTACTGATGAGTTCGTGTTGGGGACCAAGCCTCTCTACTAAATGCTGTGCTACTGCTGCTGCTCGTTCGACGTATCTCCATAAACGAAAAGCCTCTTGGGAACGCACGTCAAGCGTGGCTGTGAACGATTCGTTTGGCATACCACGCCGGTGGAGGTCAGCCGTACGTGTCAACCAATCCACGAGAATTCGAATGTAAAGGTACTTTGCCCCCAAATTCCAGACGTAAGTATCTTCACCTGGTCCATAGGCCTCCCAGAAAGATGGGGCGAGATTGGTCGTCAATCCCGCCATGGACAGGATGCGTAGTCGCAGATTTTCCTTGCAAAAAGGGATCAACCCCTCAGCATGTGCGTCTGGATAACTAACGGCTCTGCAATTTTCGCGCAGGATAATAGATCTTACGTGCTTGCGGACGTTTGTCGGAAGTCTCCTTAGAGTTGCAGCACAAATAGCCGTGGCGGAAAAACAGAGCTTTATGTGAAAATGCTGCCTGGTCCAGTCCTCTCCTTCTTGGCTTTGCGGCGTTAGGAGTTGCTCCATTCGGGATAGTTCCTCTACCGTGGGGATGAGCCAGGGATCAGGCTGCCAGGCTAGGATCTGCTGGAGCGAGCCTTCCACAAAGTGAGGGGAGTAGCGCCTATGGTAGCGGTCAGGGTGAGGATCCAATGGGACAAATACCTGAGACACGAGATCGTCAAATCTGGGGTCGCTGGAGATGAGATTGAGACATAGCTGTACGGCCTCGCAGAAAGACGCCGTAAATTCATCCCGAGGAAGTCTCTCGGTCCAGAGCATGCCCCATATCCGAGGGTGTGGTCTGTCTCTCAAAGAGTAGATGATAGCCCAGAAAACGCCGCTCATACCTGGACAGGCTTCAACGACTTGAGCGATCATATCGTCGGTAACGCACTCAACAGCATAATGAAGCATTAACAGTTTAGTCCACTGGACCAAGTGCAATAGATGCTCGAATCGGGCTGACAGAGAGCGTAATCCACGAAAGCTGTCCTCTTCTCTTTCCAGACAGCAAGGAGTGAACGTGATGGTGTTCACCTGTAGATGGATACCCTTCATCTCATTAGCTACCATCTTGCAAGTACGAGGCAGATTGAGCTCTTTGCCACTGGCATACTGCAGCGTCTTGGAAGTGTAGTCGTATTCCAAGCCCTCTTCATCATAAGAGTAGTACTCGTAGATTTGGTCGCGCAGCTCGCGAGGCAGGCGGCAGAGGAGTGATTGTTGCTGGTCGGCATGTTCCGAAAGGTCGGGAGCGGATGTGGGGTCGGATGTTACGGTCGTCATGGCGGCTGTCTTGGTCTGAAATGAGTGAGGAAGGATATTAAGACTTTCAATCTTCCAGTGGGAGGGGGTGGTGTCGAAAGTAGTATTTCGTCAAAGCCGGGCACCTGCGACTTTTGTATCAGTAGGGTCGAAGGCAGCAGCACATCACCTGACGAAGCTAAATGATCCTCAACCGAGAAATGCGACCATTTCATACTACAGTTTGGTTCTTTCCACCGAAGCATCCTTATCACGTACCCTAGACTAACAGTATGGGTAAGGATCGTCGAGTGATCCAGTGGGTAGCTGAGCCGCTGACATTGAGGTAGGCTTGGGTGCCCTCAAGCTGAGCATGATGTGGGTTCTTATCAGACGCGTGATGAGACATAGAGACGTAGCGCATATACAGCACAGGTTATGAAAACTATTGAAGGAGTTCGGGGCAAGATGACGATATGAAGCTCTTTGGGCGTGAAGTTCAGAGGACCATCTCCCATCGCAGCGCGACTTCCTCGAGCCAACTAGCGTCTTGGCATACATTTTCCGCCGCAACACCATCGCCGTCATCACCAGCCCATCGCCAAAGCTGCACGTCCACCACCACCCGCCATCGCATACCCTCCCCGCCGCGTCTGGCCCGAACCCACCCCCAAAACCACACAATGCTATCCCGCGCCCTCACCCTGCCCATCCGGCGGCCGTCCACCTTCCAAACCCTGCGCAGCACCCTCCGCACACGCACCCAACACATCCACACACCAACATGTTCCTGCGTGCGACCCAGCCTCTCTGCCTTCCGCTCTACGTATACACCCAGCACGGGCATCCGCGACCTTGTTTCCAGTTTCAACAACCTGAGCATGGGAGGAAGGATACAAACACGCGGCATGAAAGTGCGGAGTTCGGTTAAGAAGCTGTGTGATGGGTGCAAGAGTGTGAGGAGGAAGAAGGGACGATATGTTTATATTATTTGCTCGAAGAACCCGAAGCATAAGCAGAGGTGAGTCTGAACGGGATGGGAACGGGAATGGGGAAGGGGATGATGCTAATAGTGTGCAGGCAAGGATAGATGGGCTGTGGATACTTCAGGAACGACATAGGGGGATGGAAGCATGTGGTTGATGGATTAGAGAGTACAACCTGGGGAGAGGAGGAGCTGTATCATATGTATGCATATTAAGGCATCACGGGCGTTTACACGGCACTATGAGAATGGGATAGGACACTCAGCTACTGCAACAATTGGAACTCGACTGCACTTGCAGGATAACCTCACAGCCATAATACTCGTGTATATCATTACGTCGTAACACACCTCACCCCATACTCCCCCCACTCCTATCCCCCGAAATAATCCCCGCCATCTTCAACAACTCCCTATCCATCTCCGCATCCCCCGTCCCAAGATTAACCCTCCGCCTAGCCTCCGCCTCCCTCTCCTGCCACGCCCACTCCCTCCTCTGCTGTTCCGCAACCTCATCCCCACCACACCCCCACACCTCCAGACACTCAATCTCAAAGCGATCCTGCCAATCCCTCTTCTTCCTGCCAGGCAACTTGCTCGGAAGGAACGAGCCCCCGCCCTCAGACAAATGCGTGAAGACCGCGAATTCGAGCGCGTCGTCGAGGTGCAGAGAGACGGGGCCGGGGCGGAAGGGCGAGTGGGAGAATTGTGTTGAGGAGGCGGTTTGCGTGGGGATAGGTGTGCCGAGGCCGACGCCGGCGGGGTGGGTGGGTGATTTGGAGAAGTAGGTGTAGTCTTTGCTGAAGGTGGAGGCGGGGAAGATGTCGTGGGTGGGGGAGAGTTGGAAGAGCTGGGTGGAGGAGTCGCCGAAACAGGTTTTGCCTGTGTGTTTCCACTGCGAGGAGATGTAGGCGCCGTAGATGAGGGTTTGGTTGGGCGCGCTGGAAGTTATGCTGGAGGGGTGGCGCTTGGGTGGGAGCATGTCTTGTAATGCGCGTTCGCGTGTGCTGGAGGGTGTTGCAGGGAGGAGACGACCTTTTACGAGGAGGATAGTAGGCGCGCGCCAGTTGAAGACTTGCTTTTCGAAAGAGCCCATGCTGAAGCCGTGGGTATTGCCGCTGTATAGTGGACGTAGTCTGCGGAACAGATTGCTGCCCTTGATGAAGAATGAGAGTTGGCTGAGTGTAGTCAAGTTCAAGATCTCCCCAGGTTCCCGTAGAACCGGCTCCAGTTCTGCCTTTGGTGGAGGTATCACGGGTTTGCTCTCTTGGGTGGGTGAGCCAGGACCTGCCTTCTTCTTGGAGAGGTCAAAGTCCTTCGCGAAGAGGAAGTGCTCGAATAGTGGGTTGAGGCCGTTGAACAAGTATGGCATCGTTGTTGAGACGACAGTGTTGAATGTGCGATACGTGACACCCGGGTGATTCTCAACGTTGAAAGACGACAATATTACGTGTGCCGCCTGCCGTAATTCCTCGACCCTCTTGTCTGAGAGATCTGGTGCCAGTGACGAGAGACTTTGCTGCGCATCGATTGACGCAATGAGCAACAGCAGCTCCACCAACTTGAGGAAGTTGTCCGTCGGTATGATCGAATGATGAACGTTCGTCTGTTCCCCATGCTTAAACGCGTCGATCGCATCCATAGAGTCCAACGCGGCAAGCACCAACTCATCGTCATCCTCGTCCTCTTCCTCTTCCCCCTCATCCGGCGCATCAATCGCCCACCCCATATTACTGCTCCCGCCCTCCACCTTCTTAGCTTCATCCACCTCCTCCTTCTCCTTATCCTCCAAACTCGACCGAATCCCCTTATCATAAATCGCCAAACTCCTATAAATCTCCCTCAACCAAATCTCCTTCCCCCTCTTCTTAAGCACAGCGCCATACCTCTCCGTCAATATCGTGACAACCTTCAGCAACGCCTCTTGTGTAAGTATAGTCGGGGCCTGACTCGGAAGCGGGAATGCGCCAAGGTAGCTAGCCATCTGAAAGACAACAGAGCCCACGCCCAGCGCATCGGGCAGTTCGAGGAAACGACATAGCGTGCTTTCGCTCCAGTATTGTACGCCGGATTCGGTGTCGGCGAGGGAGCGGAAGACGGAGTTGAAGCAGTAGAGTTCGAGGGGGGAGAAGCTTTTTGACGCGAAGCGTTGGGCGATGGTTTGGGAGAGTTGCTCTGGGGTTTCGTTAGATGGGGTGTTAAGGCGGCGACTGGGTAGCGGCGGGTGTAGAACGGGAAGTAGTGGACTGCGTGTACTTACCCAGCGTCAGTTGCGGGGTATCGTGCGATGCTCCTTGGCCCATGATCGCGGTAGCTAGGCGGTTTCGGCGCGAGGTGGCATGAGCGGGGAAGTTCCTTGGTCGTCGCGTCGCGATGCTGTTGTAAACGATGACGGAATGTGGGTTATCTCCGATAACACCGAGATTCTGGGTTTCGACGCGTACATTGTCGACTCTCTTTCACATCGAGGTGCATCTACCGCGTACTGTTACGTCGCGTTCGCATTTTCAGACCGAACCTTTCACAATATTGTTGATTACTGCTACAGAACATCGTTGCTAATATACTGCCTCTTTCCATGCATTATGCTACGCGATGGAGCAACGCGTCGAGCAAAGATCTTTCGCTCAAACCATCACACCAGTCAAGAGAAAGAAAAAACATCCACCTGTAGAAGACGATGGAAGCAAACAATCTAAACGCCTACATTGCGTCAAGGTTCTGCTGACTTCCATTCTGATACTGATGAGGTCTACAGAGCACCTGTTCATCCCCTACCCCGTCCGCGTCCACCCCGATCACCCCGACCGTTTCCTCTGCCACGACCGCGTCCACCCCCACGAACCCATGTCGGCGCATCTCCCATAGTGAAATTATCACTCGGAGGAGGTCCACCTCGACCGCGGCCGACATTGTAGAACCCAACGGGCGGAAGAGGGCCGGCGGGAGGTGGAGGAGGAAACACAGGAGCGGAACCATCTAAGCCACTGCCACGACCCCCGCGGCCAAAGCCCCCACGACCGAAGCCGTGGGCGCTGTGAGAAGCTCCACCTCTTCCGCGTATAAAGTTCATGGTGTTGCTGTTGTAAGGCGGATGACTGGTACTGGAACTGCTCTGTCCACCACGAGTACTAGGTTCATCGCTGCTGCCGCGACCACGTGTGGAAGACCTAAGTTCATAGCGAGGCGCTTCAGCGGAGTCTTCCACGGCAGGTCCGTTCGTATCGGCAGCTGTATGACCCCTACCGAATCCTCCACGATGCTGGCCACGACCGCGGAAGAAGCTTGCAGCAACCTCCGGACTTGCGTTGTCCATGAATTTACTGAAATCATCCAAATGTTTGAACATGGATTGAGTGTCTGTCTGGGCTGGCGAGGATTTTGCCACTGAAGCCCACGTTGGTGCTTCTGACGAACTTGCCATAGAAGACCCCGTCGGTGCTTCCGATGAGCTCGTTGTGGGACCCCCCGGTCCAGGTGGGTAAGGCGAAAGCCCAGGCCCGAAATGACTTGCCGGTACCATTCTGCGTTTTGGGGCTTTCGGGGTAGGAGGAGCGACGTATTCGACTATGAATGTAGCGCCGTACTTCCTCAATGCGGTCTGTAGATGTGGTAGCATGGCGCCCAAATCGCTTGCTTCTGGAACCCGGTAACGAGCAGCCATGGTTTCCGCAAAAGCCTCGTCATAGGCGTACATTTCCTCTTCGATTGTTCGCTCAAAAGCCGATTTGTTAGTTTCAGGCACCCTCTCTTTGACCCACTCTTCCACTGTACGGAGAATGGTATTGCCTTGCTGTTTGAAGTGAAAATCGACAACGTCTTTCCAAAGTGGTGGCGGTTCATCGAGCCAAGCTAGAATGGCAGTGCGTACGGTATGGTCACGAATCTTTCTGTTGTACATCGATGAAGGCCCGTTGGGGCTGCGAGTATAGCCCGCTTCCCTTCCTGGTTCGTTGTACCATGGCTCCTCGCACAGTATCATTGCCTGTATGGAGATCAATACTTGTAGCAATGTCGACTCCCCAGGATTCCATGGCTCTCCAGACCATGTACCAAG